GGGGTGGACCAGAATCAGCTGCGCGTCCCCTCCCTTGCACGTCCTGCGGGACCCAGCGGTGGCGCGCGCTCTCCCCAGCCCCGCACCATCCCGCGCCAGATGTGAGTCCTCGGGCCCGGCCGCGCGGCCAGATGTGCGCCGCCCTCCGTCCCCAGCGCCCTGGAGATCCCAAGGGGTGGGACCCCCCCGGGCGCCACTCTTCGCCCACCTGCCCGGTCTAGGTACGCCCCGCGCCCTCCGGGGCTTCCAGCTGCGCCCCGCCAGCTCACCGCCTGGGTGGGGAAGCAGCCGCCCCCGCCCCGAGGTTATCATTCCCCGGCCCCGGCGTCCGCTGCCTTCGGTCGCCTGATCCTTTCTTCGGCTCCCCGGGCCGAACGTCCCCGGTGCCGGCCCCAGGTTGGGGCAGGTTTCCGGGTGCTGGCTCCAGGCCGGCCCCTGCCCGCGGCAGCCTGGGGACTGGGAGGCGGCCAGCCCGGAGCGCGTCCTCTCCTCGCTCCCCGCACTGGGCAGTTCATTCAGGAGCCCCTCAGGCTTGGGTCGGAGGGTGCGGCGGGGAGAAGGCTGAGCCTGGGAGTGAGCAGGAGGGACCAAGGCCCGCTGCGGGAGGGGGCTCGCTTTGTCCCTCCTGGCCCTCTTCACCGCTGAGGGCGGACAGCCCCAGAGCTCTGGCTCCTTGCTCCCCAGAAAAATGGAAGGACCCATGGGAAGTGGGGATAAGAGGCCAGTGGGGCTGCCTGCCCTTGGAGCTCTGTGCTGCCTCCTGCTTGGCTCCCCTGGGCAAAGGTCTGACCACTCGGGGCACGTCTGAACGTGACCCCACCCTGGGGGGCCAAGTCGACCCTATCCAGCCCCACTCTGTGTCTGCCTCTCCCTGGGTCTCCAGCGACCCAGGAAGAAAGAGACTAATGCGCGGCGACTCTCAAGAGGGGCTTCAGGCAAGGAGGGGAGTGGTAGCGCCTGCCTGGCTTCAGGTCTGGTGTTTGGGCAGCATGACTCTTCCAGAGCACCAGAGGGTCCAGGCTCTGACATGTCCAGGGTGACACATGCTTCTGTCGGTTCACCCGATGACAGTCCCAGCCTGCTGTGGGTGGGAGAAATGTGGCAAAGCAGAGGCAGGTGGTGGGTAGCCAGAAGCCCCCCCTCCTTCCTTTGGATATCCTACAAATGCCCTCCAAGGGCGACAGATTCATAGAGACCTGGGTTCAAATTCCAGCTCTACCATTCTTTAAGCTGTGTGACCTTGACAAGTTACTTAGCCTGGCTGAGCCTCCTCCGCTTCCATTAAAAAGTGCAGTTACTGCCACTTCCTTCCAAGGTTCATGGTGGGGCTCTAACTGGGTGACACACGTTCAGAGCCTGACACCTTGCCTGGCAAGCGATCAAACAAACGGGTCCTCTTCTTGGAACTTCTGACCCATCCTAGTAGAGCATCACCCTGCCGGGCTCCAGCTCCCAGCCTGCCCTGATGAATCAGGTCTTATTTGAAGAGTTTGGGAGCATTCCCTGCCATTCCAGGGCTGGGTCCCTAACATAGTACAATCCCTCAGACCTCAACAGGAGGTCTCTCTCCCCTGGCGGTGGAGGGGCTCTAGCATATTAAAATCGCTGGGGTTTGTATTCATTTCCACCAGTTTCCTTCCAGTTAACCAACCCCTTTCATTCCACACCTTGTTTAAATAGGAGGGGGGAGGGCACTTTTAAGAGACCATTTACCTTGAACTGCACCGAAGAGCTTTACACGGATCATCTTGTTTAATCTTCCAAACCACCACACAGCTGGACTCCAGTGCTCATTTTGCACATGAAGGTGGTTAAGTCATCTGCCCAGGTTAGAAAGGGGGCGGGGGACTGTCTCCCCACCCCCTAACGCTATTCAGCTTGCCCCTATGCTTACCTCGGACCAGAAACTCCAGGCCCTAGTGCAGGGGTCAGGGAGAGGGAAGTTCAGAGGGTTTAAATCATGGGTGGCATTTCTTGGGAGTGAAAGCTGCCTTCCCAGTGGAAGTGGCCCCTGCTTGGAGGGGCCAGCAAAGTGCAGTGGCTACAAGCATATGCACAAGGACCAGGCTGCCATGGTCTGGAGCTGCATCTACCACAGACTGGCTGTGTGACCTTGGTCAGCATTGGCACCCTCTCTGCTCCTCCGTGTCCTCTGGGCTGTGATGGCGAGGGGTTGAGTTAGTGTCTGGGAAGTAAACCGCTCCTGGCACCAGAGTAAGAATTAAATAAGCACTGCATGAGTCCTTTTAACTATTTTTTATTCCCCCTTGTGGATACATTTTTGCTCATCCTTGTAAACAAGGAGGGAGACGATGTTAATATCCTCTTGCTATGGGATATAGCTACATAGTAACAGAGCTCATTTCCGTTCAACGACACTGCCTTCCCATGGTTCAAAGCCTTCGATGAAATCCTCCCGGAACTGAATTACTTCCCAAGTAATTCTGTAGGAAACCAAGCCAAAGCATAACTTTTAACTTCCCTACCCCGACCCGGCACATGCTTCTTAAGGGTAAAATAACAGCCATAAGTTTGCCTAAAATGTAGCAAGCCTCTGCCACATACACACACACACACACACACACACACACACACACACACACACACACTCCACACTGACAGCTAAAACCTCAGCTCTTCAGTGTCCGACTGGAGAAATTCCATGATACAGCTGGCTTGAGCACCCCTGTGGAGGGAAGGAGTGTCTCCCCCACAATATTCTGTCTCCGGCTTTTCCTTCCTTTATAAGGCCTCTCAGCCCAGTGCTGGCTTTGAGAGCAGCTACCCTGGATGAAAGAGCCCAACAACTCCACCCCCACAATTAGAGCTTGGTGTAGCCGGGCAGCACTGGCCTCCACCCTTCCTTCTCTGCTCTTCCTTCCCTGTAACATGGGATTATTGGCCAGCATGCAGCCTGCCTGCCCTGTGTTGGGACTGGAGAGGGAGAAGGGTGACCATGACCATTCCAGCTACCCAGCATCCAGCTGGACCCGCACTTCCCCTGCTGTGCCCCCCTGGGAAGAAGCTCCCAGGGTTGTCTGCCTTCCTTAGGATAGAGATGTAAATGGATGGCGTGGGGTGCTCTGATTGCAGCCTGGTCAAGCCTCGAGTCTGAGAAGAGAAAGAGACAGGAGTGGGAATGGCTGTCTCCACTTCTGGGGTGCACTGAAGTCGGAAGTCAAGAAGGGAGGGCAATGTATAAGCCCGGTTACTGACCCCAGAGACTTGCATTCACCTTCCACCTTCCCTGGTACACAGCCCTGTGCACATTCTGTGTATGTGATGTTCACACACCCCCATACCAACACGGAGAAGCCAAAGGCTCCTTCCACTTCCATAGGCTTCGTGAATTCACCCAACCCTCCCCCATCCACACACCCATTTACACACCTGAGCACAGGCATCCCCAGAGTGCCCTGGCCCAAGGCCCTTTATAAGTACTTGTGAAGCAGCCGCAGCCATGATCCCAGAGTCCCCTCCCAGGCCCTTGGCACAAGCATCCTGGCGCTAAACCCTTGACACAAGCATCCTGGCGCTAAAGAAGTGCCCTAACTTTAGGAGGAAGGTGATGTGGGTTTGGGTTACAGGCCCGTTCTTGAACTCACAGGGTGACCTCCGTGGGACTTGTGCTAACAGTCCCTGTGTGCCCCATCACAGCCACGGCCAACTCCGAATTGTTGGGGAACTGAAGCCAGGGCTGTGTGGCTCCGGGATCGGTGGGCACTCAGTAAGTGGGGGCTCAACGCGGTGCTAAGTTTGTGGGAGTTGTTTTTTGGTTTTTTGTTTTAAAGGACAGGTTGTGCTGCAAAGGGGGAGCAGGGAGGCTCATCCCCAGGGCAGTTACTAGCCTCCTCACTGCACCTTTTAGAACCCGTGTTTCTGAGACCCCTGGGAGCAGGCCAATCCACAGACAAGCCCAGCCTCCCCTCCACTTCAGAGCTCCTGCCTTTTGACCTGCGGTTGGGGTGCTAGGGGGCACAATGAGTCCCCCTGCCCCCAGCAGGCTGAAGGATGCTGGCCCTCAGAGTTGCTGTCATCTGCTAGAGGCTTGTTGTTCTCTTTGTCTGGTTTCTTCTCGCCCCTGGGAACCCCTTTTCCCCAAGGCAGTGCTTCAGTGTTGTCAGCAGCTGGGGCCCCAGGGGCCCCTCAGTTGGATGGGGGTGGGGCAGAAGTGCCCGACCACACTTTTCCACCTCCTCACCCTCCCTGGGAACCTCCCTAAGGCCTGCTAAGCTCTGTCCCCAGGCTCTTCCAAGAACCCCTGCATCAGGGCCAATGACTGCCCTTTGTGGGGGAGGTGGGAACGGTGTCCGTCTTCCTCCTTTCTCCCAAAGTTCACCTTGAGCTGTCCACAGGACAGGGGGGCAGCACCCTGCCTGCCAGGGGCTTGGGCTGGCTAAGAGGTGTCACCACCCCCACACCTCCTCTTCCCTCCTTTGCCAAAGGAAAAGCTCATTGGAGGACATGTTGTTCCCAGCCTGCCCCGCTCTGGAGGCAGGAACGTGGCATTCTGGGAGTTGTAGTTCCCCCACAACTCTGGTCACCCCTGTGCAGAGATAGTTGGGGAGAGGTGAGGGGGTTGCCGGGGCAGATAAGGAAGGCTACAGGTGAGCAGCAACAATTGGTGCCAGGCGGGTAATACTAATCCAGAAGCCCTGTTTTTTAACTGACCTGCTACTCTGACCCTCAACCCTGAAGGCAGAGGGACTGGCGGCTCTGAAAGTGAACTCTGTATTTGGAAGGGGCGGGGGGAGCGGGGGAAGAGCTGCTGTACGGAATTGAAGGCCCAAAGCCAGCGAAATCCTGTCATTTTCTTAAAAGGGCAGAATGCGATTGCTTGAAGGCCACTGCTCCTGACCCTCCCGACCCCTCCCGGCTGCCCCCTGCAGGGAGAGTATGTGTCTGAGTGTGTGCCTATGAGGGTGGTTGGTGGATGTCAGAAGTGCAGACAACTAGCTTGTGGAAACCAGTCTCCCCAGTTCACGCATGGCCTGGCATCTTGGCCAAGTTCCCCCCACCCCCTCCCCAGGCCCAGGGTGGGGTCACAGCCCAGCAGCCAAAGAAGGTAAATCCATGTGACTCCACCCTCCCTTATCTCTGGAGGCCAGAGCTTCCAGCCCCTCAGGCAGCCAGGACGGGGGCTCCCCAAGCCCACCCTGGTAGGGGGAGAGAGGTGGGACAAGCCCACCAACCACTCTGCCCTCTGCCCAGGAGGACCATGAGGCAGTAGCAGCCATGCTGCCCTTCCTGCTGGCCACACTGGGCACCACGGCCCTCAACAACAGCAACCCCAAGGACTACTGCTACAGCGCCCGCATCCGCAGCACTGTCCTGCAGGGCCTGCCCTTCGGGGGTGTCCCCACTGTGCTGGCCCTCGACTTCATGTGCTTCCTGGTGAGTGCTCCCTTCCCTGTGCATGCGAGACAGAGATCTTCAGGGCTGACCACTGCCCAAGCTAGCCCTGACTCCCAGCCTGACCAGCAGGGAGAATCGCAGCCACCAAACCCAGACCAAGGCCTTGCCTGTGGTAAACCTTCCCCTCCTAAGAGCAGCCCGGCGTGTGCGTAGCCTCTGCCTCTGCCAATCAGCCCCTCTTCTCTCAGGCCCTGCTGTTCTTATTCTCCATCCTGCGGAAGGTGGCCTGGGACTATGGGCGGCTGGCCTTGGTGACAGATGCAGACAGGTAAGGCTCTGGGGCCCTTTTCCATCCCTGCACATGCACTCGAGGGAACCCTAATGGCATAGTGGATTTCAATTGGGCTGCTCACCTCAAGATCGGCAGTTCAAACCCAACCACGCGTGCCTCGGAAGACTGAGGCTTTCCGCTCCTGTAAAGACCTACAGCCTCGGAGCCCACAGAGGCAGTTCTGCTCTGTCCCACAGGGTAGCTGTGAATCTTAATTGACCCGATGGCGGCAAGGGTGGTGGTGGCAGTCTTGACGCACACCCACGTACGTGCTCGCGCACACACTGCACACACCCCATGTTCCTCAGCCCTCTCCAAGGACAGGAAAGGAGCCAGCCCTTTCTCTCTCTCTTCTCTCACTCTCTTTCTCCTTTGACAGGGAAATGAGGCAGGAGCCAATCCTTGAGGAGCAGGCATGGGGGGTGGGGGTGCATGCAGGGCCCTTGGTGGGGCCCCTGCCCCTTGCCAGGCCTCAGGTACCTGCCCCTGCCCCTGCTAACCCTGTCTGTTCTCTGCCCCCCTCCCCCCAGGCTCCGGCGGCAGGAGAGGGACCGAGTG